AGAGCCCTAACCACCTGGCCATGCCGGGCCCTGAACAAATAAACAAATATGAATGCGTGAACTGGATGATTTTCTAGAGTTTTATGCCAGTATTCAGTATATCCGCTTGGCGATTATGCAACTATGTTTTTATTTGACTTATAGTGTAGCAAGTTCATAATTAAGCTCTAGAGAAATATATCTAATATTTAAAAGTTGATAGAAAGATTTTAATGAACGCCCATAAAATATTTTTAGTATTACCACTAGGGATGAGTGCTGGCTGAAATTCGTCGCCAGCGCTGTGTGTAAATGTACCATGGTTAGGCTTAATAACACCATCTACATTTTCATTGACCATATTTCAGAGGTTAATTAAAAGTATTTTGTTTTCTCAAAGTTATTACTTCTGGTTTCAATGGAAGTTCTACTTTATATTAGTTTAGCTTTACCTGGCCAAATATTATCCCAAAATATTTCAATATATTCGTCCCTATCAGCTCTGTTCTGCTCATGCCAGAACCCAACAGCATGACCCAGCTCGTGTATTACCAGGCCTCTCCAGTGACAGCCGCTTCCAAGGGACAACTCCTGCTTCCCACCCTGACGACCAACCATTGACCAGCATCTGTAGGAGATAAAAAAGAAAAAAAAAAGGTTTATTTCTGGATTTGATTTTGTTATTTTCCAGCAATTTCAGGTTTATGTATATTCAAATTAATATATATTAAAATCGATAAAATCAATAAATACATGATAATGTTAGAACACTGGAAGTCACGCGACGCTGGGAGCATGCACGCTGAAGTTTCTAGAAGGATCATGAATTATCGAGGAACCCCGCGAATGTCCGAGTGTTTGCCAGGCGCCTTCTTTTTTTTTTTAGAATACAAGCCCGGCAAATAAAGCCAGCGATAAATAGATATACAAATAGATTGAAGAGATAGATAACTGAGTCAGCGAACAGTAGACACCGGAAGTAAAGTGTGTGAATCACTGTGATTTATATCGTGTGTTATAAAGGTTGTTAAGTTTAAAGTGACTGTGGAAAGTTCCTCGGAAAGAATTTATACCGGAAATTAACAAACGACCAGATAAATGATAACTATATTAACAACCTCTGTACTTTTCCCAGCATGTCTACTCGAGATGTCCAAATCAAACTAATTATCGCAACCAGGACTTGAAATAGTTTCCAATATTTCTAAGGTCGAACAATATTTCTATTTCTCTGGTCTTTAACGATTGTGTTCTGTCTCTTAGTGGTCACAGTTTAAAGATTAATTTTTAAGAAAATAAGTGCAATTGTGAGGTTTTATTACTAATAAATATATTGTTTTTATATAATATAATCCATAGCTAGTAATCAAATATTTTTTGGCAGAATACGTATTTTCTTCCCGTATTTTCAGCGAGCTTTTTTTCCAGATAAAATTGTAACTGGAATTGTTTGTAATTAAGCACAAAGCTACACAATGGGCTATCTGTGCTTTGCTCACCATGGGTATCGAAACTCGGATTCTAGCGTTGTACATCCGCAGACATACCGCTGTCCCACTGGGTGGGGGGGGGGCAACGGCAATTGTTTCATTGAAAGTTATCAGTCTGTAATTTGTATACATGGGCACGAGGATACCGAAAACATTATCGTAACTTAATGGAAAATACTGGACATCATTTTTTGCTTGCGGACTAGTTGTTGACTGTCTTTGTGGACTAGTTGTTGACTGCCGTATGACAATGTCTGCAATCTCCTTCGCTTGGTACAGTTAGAAATAGCCAAGTGCTGTCCACTGTTGAAGAATAATTGGGACAAAGTCTTGCCCCTATTGCAGTTTACAATTGTATTCTTTTTAATGTGTCACCAGCGATCTACGGACACTGTCATACCTCATTATACACGTGCTTCTAGTTGATACAGTCAGCTGAAGTTGTATGTTTTATAATGTCGTTCCTAATAACAAACAGTCAGCTAAAGTTGTATGTTTTATAATGTCCTTCCTAATAACAGTCAGCTAAAGTTGTATGTTTTATAATGTCGTTCCTAATAACAAACAGTCAGCTAAAGTTGTATGTTTTATAATGTCGTTCCTGATAACAGTCAGCTAAAGTTGTATGTTTTATAATGTCGTTCCTAATAACAGTCAGCTAAAGTTGTATGTTTTATAATGTCGTTCCTGATAACAGTCAGCTAAAGTTGTATGTTTTATAATGTAGTTCTTGATAACAGTCAGTTAACGTTGTATGTTTTATAATGTACTTCCTGATAACAGTCAGCTAACGTTGTATGCTTTATAATGTAGTTCTTGATAACAGTCAGCTAACGTTATATGTTTTATAATGTAGTTCCTGATAACAGTCAGCTAAAGTTGTATGTTTTATAATGTAGTTCCTGATAACAGTCAGCTAAAGTTGTATGTTTTATAATGTAGTTCCTGATAACAGTCAGCTAACGTTGTATGTTTTATAATGTAGTTCCTGATAACAGTCAGCTAACGTTGTATGTTTTATAATGTAGTTCCTGATAACAGTC